TTTTAGTTGTAATGGATGGTGACTCTTGCACATAACCCTGGGCCAGATCCTCAGCTGCTGGAGAGGAGCAAAAGCTTTGCCAGTGAGCAAAGAGTGCAGAGGAGGCTGAGGGACAGCAGTGAGGGCCTCTGCCAAATCCAGTGACAAAAAATCACTGGGACTGCTCCTGAGAGGCAGCCACAACAGAGAGACAGACACCTCACACTGGGCCCATGGATGTTGGCTGTCCATGGGTATGACCCTGTGTGCAGCACGAGAGAGTAGAGAGGATGGAGAAGGAATATTTCAGCTGCTTACTGCATGAGAAGTAAGTTCTGACTTGAAATAAACCTGCAGCATTTGTAGCCTGAATTAAACTTGTCACTCAGCTTGTTAGAACCTCTGACACTCAAATTATACTGAGCTGAAACAGAAGCATCCACTGTTAATTTCCTACTTAATCTTACCTGTGAAATAAAAAACTGCAGAACAACTAAATGTAAAGAACATTGGAGACCTACAAATCTGGAGATGGACTTTGGATGAGGGCACAGAGTGATAGAACAAAGGGGAATGATTTCATCCTGCCACAGGGCAGAGTCAGATGGGGAGAAATTGTTCCCTGTGAGGGTGGGCAGGCCCTGGCACAGGGTGTCCACCCTGGATCCCTGGCAGTGCCCAAGGCCAGGCTGGGCAGGGCTGGGAGCAGCCTGGGATGGTGGAACACGTCCCTGCCCATGGCAGGGGGTGGGATGGGCTTTAAGGCCCCTTCAAACCAAACTGTTCTGTGATTCAAACACTGAACCACCACTAAAGCCAGAAGAGTCAGGGAGCTGCCTGGAAGTGCAGGCCAGGAGCTGAGATGTTGCAGCTTTCACCTGCAGAGCCAGGCAGGGGCTCAGGTCTGTCAGAGACTCTGAGTGATGCTGGAGATGAGAAACACCCCCACACCAGAGGAGCCGCCCCAGCCACATTCTGGCTGCAGGAGCAGAACTGGCCTGGCCTGAGGGGCAGCACTCAGGCAGCACAGAGCCACACAGCAAGGCTCCCATGTGTGTGTGTGTCCAAGAGCTCCCAGCTGCACAGATATGTGTCAGCACATGCCCTGGGCAGCACCAAGAAATGAGGTCAAGCAGAAAGCAGCACTGACTCCCATCAGGCACATGTGGGGCTCCACAGCAGTTCTGTCTCAAGCACAAAACACAACTGCACAGGCAATGGGAGCTGATGCTCCTGCAAACCTCCCAGTGCCTGATCTTTGCTCTTTTTTCCCCAAATCATGATTGTTTTTATGTAGTAGTGCAGAAAGATCTCTCTCTCTTGCAGCAGAAACCATAACTGCTCTTAGCAGAGAGAGCTGAACACCAAGTGCACTGTGGCAAGAGGAGCAAACCATTGACAAGTGCTGCCAGAGATTTCTCATCTGCACCACTGATGCAGCAACTGAAATTATCCATCACACACACAAGGCCCTGTAAGGTATCTGGGGGGTTATTCCCAACCTGTACCTTTAGGGACCTGACCCTATAAATCCCCTAAAATGTGTGAAAATGGTCAATGTCAGCCTTGAGTGTGAAGGGCTGAGGCATCACTAAAAACAACAGGAGCACAACTCCCTACCACGTTCAAAGCTGAAACCCTCCAGCCCCAGCCATCTCATCTAACCTAATAATTCACTGCAAATAACATTAAATATGCAATATCTCTCTCTCTCTTGGCTGTTTCATGCATGTTGGACTCACTCACCCAAACCAAATTCTCCTCCCCAGTACATCACAGAAGGCTCACAAATATTTGCATCACTTATATGCAGCAGAAGTACCTCTCCTTCTGGATTTTTCCTTCATAATAACATTTTAAAAAAATCCCTTTTAGCTTTACAGCTACAACAGAAAGAAAATGAAAAGTAAGTTTATACTTGGGAATTTTCTTGGCTGTAAGATAAAATTAGAAGACATGCAATGTCAAATCTACTGATCTAATTGAAGGGAAGACAAGATGAGGCTCAGAGAGGCATGGACAATCCATTGGAGGAACAGCTCCATTTAAAAGAGGACACAGACAAAAAAGATAAAATAGAAAGGAAAAACATGACAAGATAACAAAGCCTAAGAGAAGTCAAGGTTCTTTTCAAGTATAAGGTATAAAGGTGCCAGGCACTGAATATGTGTTTGAAGAGCATAATACTTTTGATCCATTAATGTGAATCCAAGTTAGGAACAAAGCAGGTGGAAATGACTACAGTGACCTTGGACAGGGGTGGAAAAAACACCCTTTGCTTAAATCTGTTTTAGAAGGAAGGACAAGAAAAAAGAAAAAAATTCAGAACTCCCAAATGACAAGAAAAGACTTGTTAAGCTGATTCCCTTTTACCTCCTCAGCTGCACAGGACTGGCAAAGAGAGCAAGGAGGGGAATGTTCTTCCAAGGACTTGGAATACACGTCAGTCAAATCCCCTGCCTGCAAATGCTCCAACCCAAGCTGCAGGGGCATTAGCAAAGGGCAGAGTGCAAATCCAGAGACAATTACCCTGACACAGTAACAAAGGTACCACAGGAAAAGCCCCAGCTCATCCCTGAGCACAGCCCCAGGCACGCACATGGCCTCAAGGAGAACTCCTGTTCCTGGGGGTGGGCTCTGCAAAGGGCCAGAAACAAGGAACCAAATTTGGCTGTGACACCCCAATTTCTCAAACTCTATGTGAGCAAAGCACACCCACACCTTTCTAGGGTCCAAACATTGGAGGTTCTGGGGGAAAAATACTTTTCCCAACTTACTTCCTGTGCTCTGTTCAGGCTGTGTTGTGAGGGATGACCCTTCCCAGTGAAGAATTAAGCACAAGTGTATCAGGCTGAAGGGTGCCCAAAGATCTGTAAAACATGGGGGTGTCTTGAGGTCACCCTGCAACCTCTGCTTCCCTACCACAGCCTGAGACCTCGGCACTCCAAAGGTTCCCACACAGCATCTGAGGGGAAAAGATGAAAGCAGCTGAATCTCAGTGCTGAGGAAGCTGCTGTCAGATTTATGGCGAAGGAGATGAACAGCAATGCCACGTGCTGAGGAGCAAAACAGCTTCACTGCACACCCACTCTTCCCTGCAAAACTTCCAGCAACTGACAGCTGGTACCTGACAGCTCCGTGAGAGCCGAGCTGCCTCCACACAAACGGTGCCACTGAACGGTGGCACCCAGCTCAGCTCACCGACCACCACGAGGCTCAAATGCTCCTTGACAACAGCAGATCCTGCTGGGAACACAGGATTTTCACAGGACATCGTGGGGGGAGCTAAGGGGTCTATATTGTGCTCCCAACTCCACAGCACAGTCTGCTGGGTGAGCCTGGAAAAGGAATTTGTTAATAAGAAAGGGGACTGACAACTTTGCTAAGATTTGCTGAACAATAAAGGATGACATTTAGAACCCCAGGCCTCGATTCCCAGGGAATTTGAAGTTCTGTTATGCTGAAAAACTGAAAGCAAATAAACTTAAACCACTGCAGAATTAAGCCTAGCAGCCCCTGGCCTTTAGGCATATGCTAACAAGCTTACAAAGGATTTGTCTCAAGGCAGCCCTCCTCAATTAGCAGCCAATCGACTGAGGAGCATCTGGTGGCAGCTTTATGCTGGTAATAGACACAACAGGAACGTGGAAAGGTGTGCATGGAGCAAAGGCTCCCAGGATCTTCATCACAGGCACTGGTGTCTTATTCTCCCACAGGATGCACTGAGAGAGCAAAGAGCACAGCCAGAAAGCTCCACTGCCACAAACATCAGCCCCAAACTGGTCAGGGCAATTCTGTGGCACTTTACTGGTTTAGCTGTGAACAGACATGGCCAATCTGGGGAAGACTGGGGGGAAAGGGGGGCATTTGGGAGGGAGCTCAACTGTCAGCAAAAGCAGTGTTCATCTCTGGATGATCAGAGAGCAAAGAGAGCAGCACCCACTCTCAGCTGCCTTTGGGGTCTCCTGTTCACAATGAGGAACAAACTGATGCCCCCAGTTTTAACTGTTGAAATAAAAGGTTGGAGGCTGTTTCAGATAAAACAAATCTTAAGGCATGAATTTCTCAGAAATCTTGAAGTGGCCACGTTGTCAAGAGGAGCTCAAGAGAGGCCCTCCCTTCCATTCATGGGAATCACATCAGCTGTCTGCAAGACCTGCAGCTTCCCACCTTCATTCTGGGCTCCCATAAACTAAAGGAACTGGGAACAGGCCATGGAGGAAGCAGCAGGCTGGAAGTGGCAAACACCAAGCCTGGGGATCCCTTCAGCTGAAACGCTCAGCAGATCACAGAACAAAACCTTGCAAGATCCCATAAACAAGTTCCTCTAACAACACACAAATGGTGCCCTCAAAATGCAACAGCAAACCTTTGAGGAGGGTATTTGACTCACACCTGATTGTGACAAAGTCCAGAATATTGAAAAGAAACTCTGCCTAAAGCAGCTCCCATGGTCAACATCAGCCTTCTGCACCACCAGTGAATGAACATCAATGACAGCCCTCAAGCCCCTTGTGGAAATCACAAGTTTTGGAGAGAGCTCTCCTGACAGTTCAATCACTGAGTGGATGGGGAAGAACAACACAGAAGAGTTTTCCCAAAGATTTCCAGCCTTTAACCAAATCAAAAAGCCCAGTATTACTCAGAATCCAGTTGTAGATACATCCATACTACAGGGCTGATTGGGATCACAGCTGGACAGATTTTGAACTGAGTGGCAAAGGAGGTGTCTGGCTACAAACTGACCCTGCCTAACAATGTCAATTAGTTTTCCCTTCCTTGTCAAAGAATAATTACATAAGGTTGGATTTTCTTGGTTTTTTTTTTTTTCCCTTCTAACAACTAAGCTGCCATTCTTAACACTGAGATACCAATGCTTATTTTTCCTGGAAAACTGGAGGAGGGGAGCTGAGGCTTTGTCCCTGCAGCAGGACTGTCACAGACATGCAGCCAAACCCAGAGTCCCCCACCTCCCCTGGCCCTCAGCAGCTGGAGCAGGGAAGGTGCTCAGTGTTACTCACTGCCATGACCAGCTCAAAAGGGTATTTGTAGACTCGAACTGGGGACTGGTATTTCTGCACCATTTTTACCACACACCTGTAACAGAGAGAAATTGAAACATTTTAGATCCCCCACATCAAGCATATTCTAGGTGATTTTTACAGATCTTACTAGAAGTTGTAGCTCTTTCTTACAAATAGAGAGGAGATTTATTAGGTAGAATACCTTGCCTAGTGAGTGGCAGAGACAGAGGCAAATCTCTGCAGTCCCAGTCCAGAGCTGTGCCCAGCATCCTGTGCTGCTTGCCAGCACTACTGCAATAAATTCAACTTGGAGCTCCAACAAAACTCACAATAATTAAAGCACAGTACAGAGATGTAAAGCCAGAATGAAATGTACTCTGGAGAAGGAGCCTGTCTTAGGAACCTTACAGAGCCTACACAGCAATTCTTTCCCCTATCCCCCTTCCCTACATTATACCTGTAATCATTAGGGCAAAATCTTTGTCATTGAAATCTTCCACAGCTTCCCATACCATGTGTTTTAAATGCTTTTGTGCACAAAGCAGGGTTCAGTTGTTTTAGCTCACTGAAAGGAAGGAAAAGGAAGCAGCATGCTGAAAGAACATGCCTGATGCTAAGCTGGCAATCACATCCCACTGCCTGGATGCCCACTGTTCCAGCTGAACTGAGGCAAGAACTGCAGGGAGCAGGAACAATCCTGTCCTCAGCATTTCCCTGCTCCCAGCCACCTCTCACTGTCCTCATCAGGATTCCTCCCTCAGACTCTCCTGCCTGGGTTTTAACCCTCAAACATGCACCAGTAACCAGCATCTCAAGGGACGTGCACAAATCATTATAAAAAGCATTATTAGGCTGCTTTGTGCAATTCCTTTAGGAATTCCTTTGTACTGCTCCTGCCAATGGCATCCATGAGCATCAGGACACAAAAGGCTGGATGGATGGATGGCTGGTTGGAGGCACTGTGCTCATTCCACCCCACTCCAATTCCACTGCTGAGCAGACACAGCCCTGGGCAGCGTGACGCAGTGTAGCGCTGAACTCAGAGCACTCACACAACTTATCCCTGACATTTTCAGCCCAAAACCCGAGGTGAAACATGAATAGGCAATAGATTCTCCCTCAAAAATTGCTGCAAGATGCCATCACACTGTAAAATCTATGCAAGGACGAGGGGAAAAAGGACTTGAAGAGTTTGAGTACCTGAGAATGGGGGATTTTTGGAGAAATAGGGCCCGGTGATCAGACAGTTCCTCTGCAGAGGATCCCATTGCCCAAGCAGCAAAGGTCAGGGCTCGCTGGCTCTCTGTCTCACTGGGGCTAAAAGCCAGTCCATGCCAAGCCAGTCAGTGCAGAGAGAAACTCCCAGCAGAGCATCCACCCCAGAGTGCAGCAGGACAAGCACATCCCAGGGAGCCCTGGCTGCTATCAGGTGTCAGACACCCGAGCCAAGAGGCGCAGGACGGGGCACCTTGGAACATGACCTGTAACATGATTAAGCTGGGCAGGGACCCTCCTGTGAGCGCAAACAGAGCACGAGAAGCCTCCTCAAGCACATTTAGCTGGGATCTTGCTTATTCTGACCTCACCTCCTACACCAGGAATTGCTGCACCTTGGCAGGAGAAGGTCAGAAACCTCCACAGCAGGAAGGCTCAAGACAGACCAGTCTAGAATTACCCACACAACAGTGGGATGGCACAAGCTGTAGCTCAGCAGCCATAACTGTGCTGCCTGGACAGAGTCACTGCTCCTGGCAGCTGCTGGACTCACCTGCCACAGGTTTATTGTCTCTGTGCTCCTCCAGCTAAGGGGAGGCTGGAGAAAAGAGCCAGTGACTATTACACCCATGGGAAGCTGTGGAAGAATGACAGCTGGTAACTCACACCTGCCCTAGAAATCTTTCCTACCTCGGCAGAGTGCAGTGGCAGCAGACTTTCTATGCCCTCTCCTCCAAACAGAGCTGTGAGATGGTCATTGTGCTTCTCAAAGCAACAGGGATTCTTGCTATAAGTCCTGGAAAAAAAGGAAAAAAAACCATCAGAAAAGGCAGTGAAAGGTGCTGCTTGGCACACCCAGCTGAAGATGATGATTAGCACTGATGAGGACAAAGAGTCCCAGGTGTTACCATTGGGCATCTGGGCCATATTAGCTCAAGAGTGCATCTTCCCAGGGCTTTAGCACCAAAGAGAGATGTGGTTTTAGATTCATCTCGTGTTCTACTCAAATTATAAACAGGTATGGTCAACCACCAGAAAGAAACCACCCAACCCAGAGAGTTTGTCTGCTCCTCAAACATCCTCCCAGCTCTACAGTGACCCAGGCTCCCTGCTCAACTTCCTATGTGCATCTGGCTAAAAAAACACATTAGGGAAGACAACTCAGGTGAAAAGCAGTGACCCACTGAACTGCAGCATGACCACTTGGAAAGCCCAATCCACAGGTGGAGGCACACCTGGAGCATCCACGGGGAAACACCAGGAAAGAGGTTCAATATCAGCTGGGCAAGCCCAGAGTAGTTAAAATAAAAGCTCAGAGGTTGGAGTCATCAATGCATTGAGGCAACAAATCTGGCTGCTAACAATTACCCCAATAACAGCAACTCTAACCATCCCAAACTGGGGATGGGTTTTAAAAGTATTTCAAACCCATCTTTAGGTTTTAAAAGTATTTCAATTCTTGCACAGCTGAGCACAGCAAACAGCAGCAGCCACCACATTTCCCAAAGCACCCTGTGACAACACACTGTGCCAACAGCACTGAGCCCTGGGAGCCTCGGCCCCCTGGGCACCCCTTTTGCTCCAGCCCACACAGCAACTCCTCTGTGAAGCAGAGAGAGCTCATTACACGCTTGAGATGCACCAGCAGGTGCTCCAGGGAAGGAGGTGGGAGGAGGAGGGACATGGACCCCTGATGGCACCTGCTGTAACTCCAGAGAAATGGATTCTGAAGGAGCAGTGGTGCAGCCCCACTGTGCAAAGCTCCCCCAGCACAGGGGCCAGGCAGGAACTCACATCACTGCACACAGCAAAGGGACAGGCAGTGACAGTGACTGGGTGTTTCCTTCTCATCCAGAATCACCCACTGCACACCTGAGGGATTTTCCATATGCTTGACTTCTATTCTACTATTTGTAGGAGCAGCTTACTCAACAGAATGCAGCCAGATGGTTGGAAATCAGAAATGAGTGTACAGATGAAATACACAGAAACCCCTGAATCAAACCCCCTGCTCCTCAGCCAGGCACAGAACTCACCCAGCTCCTTCCACACTGGGGCTGCCTGCTGGATGTGGAACTGGCAGCAAGTGACTTTATTAACTTCTCCCACCTGTGGTGGCTGCTTTTCATCTTGAAGAGAACTGAGCAGGTTTTTTTGTTTTGTTTTTCACAAAGAACTGCTGAAAATAGCAGGATTCTTGACTTCCCCAAATACCATTGCACCACGTGAAAGCCAGCTGTGGCACCCAGCTAAGCTGATATTTCCAGTTAGAAAAGGGGAATCCACAGGGCTGCATTCTTTCTAGAGAAAGGTGGAGTGAAAGGTGTGTGACATTTCCTCTGCCTGGGGCCCCTTTCACTGAGGGAGATATTGCAATTGATGCTTCACACACAGAATAACAGCACAGCACCAAGCTGTAGGATATTTATTAGAGCTTCTTCACCTAAGAACTTAAGAACAAGTCTCTTGAAGCTTGATATAAGGAAGGCTCAAGGCAGAATGGTGCCAGAATAAATCTTTACCAGTTTTTAGAAGGAGACATCTGCTCAAGCAGGGCTTGGTCTTGCCCCTGAGAACATCTCTGGAGCAGGTGAGGCAGCATGGAAGGTACAGGTCACTGTGCTGAGGTGGAGCCTGGGCACTGCTCCTACACCTGGCAGAGGTACCTGGAGTCCTGGTGTGCATCAAAACCAAAGACAAGCAACACAAACACCCAAACAACAACATTGATACACTCCTGACCACACAGAGGGAACAGTCTTTTTGGCTGAGGGGAAGAAGGAAACGGAACAGTGTCAGCACTCTGCTCTCAGAGCTGTTTCTCTTCCATGTGTGTATCACAACAAGCTCCATGCCCAATATTTCCACACATCCATCTCATAAGGTAATTTTCTCACCAAAGAATCACCATGGAACTTTTATGCACAGCAATACATTAACTCTGTGCTATTTGCCAGCCTGCAGCAGGAGATAAGCATTCCTGAAGTAAACCCCTCATTCTTCACCTTACTACTCCACAGGAAGTCATAGCACATCCATTTATCCACCCAGTGTAGGAAATAGTTCAATTCCCAAACACAGTTTAAGAGTAGGAGACACAGAATCCTGGAATGGTCTGGGTTGGAAGGGACCTTAAAGCCCATCCTGTTTCATCCACTGCTTTGCACAGGGACATGTTCCACTGTCCCAGGCTGCCCCATCCTACCTGGCCTTGAACATTTCCAGGGATGGGGCAGCCACAGCAAATCTGGGTAATCTGTGCAAGGGCTTCATCACCCTCCATCCTTTGTCCCAAATCCCTCTGCAGCTCTCCTGGAGCCCCTTCAGGCCCTGGCAGGGACTCTGAGGTGTCCCTGGAGCTTCTCCTCTCCAGGTGAGCACCCCCAGCTCTGCCAGCCTGGCTCCTGAGCAGAGGGGCTCCAGCCCTTGGGGCATCTCCATGGGCTCCTCTGGACCGATTTCAACAAGTTCACATCCTTCTTTGCCAAGGACCCCATGCTTCAGTTTAACACATAAATCAAGAGCAGAGCCAGACAGAAGCTCTCTCAACAGTACAACAAAGCCCCAGCAAACTGTTTCAGCGTGCCTTGAGTTAAGTCTGCAGCTGTATTTTCCTTTAACAGAGGCTGGCTGTCATCAGCCCCACCAGACAAGTGGTGCCATCCACACAAGCACCTTCTCACCCTCCACAGACCAATTTTACTGCTTGGAGGAGTTTAGCCAAGTGACCCAGAGAACATACTTGGTTCACCTTGAAGCTGACTTGAAAACATGGAATCACAGAATGGTTTGGAAGGGACCTTAAATCCCATCTCGTTCTAGCCCCTGCCAAGGTCTAGTTCTATCCCCACCGCCCCAGGCTGCTCCAAACCCCGTCCAGCCTGGCCTTGGGCACTTCCAGAGATGGGGCAGCAACAGCTTCTCTGGGCAACCTGTTAAACCCATCAGTGCACTCAACAGCCATTGATCAGGGTCACCCTCTGAGTTTATAAACACTTCAGGGCGAGTTTCAGGGTGGATCTGTGGAAGCCCAAGCCCCGGGGCGCTCGGCTGGTGCCGGGGTCCCGCTCGCAGCCCCCTCCAGGCTCGGCCGAGCCCGCCGCGCTGCCCCCGGCACCACCGACCCGACAGCTCCAGAACCGCTGCATTTTGTCCTTAGACCCCAAGGAATCCCCCGCCACCCCGGTCTTCACCGGCTCCTTCCCTGATCCCACAGGATTATGGTTAAAATTTCCCTCTCGGCTTCCCGTGTCCGAAGGAGAGCAGCTCCCGGCGCCCCCACACTCACCCGGCGCCCCCGCTCCGCCGCCTCACGACGCGCCCGGCCAGACACGCGAGGCAGGAAAAGCCTCACACCCACCTCTCCTCCCGCCCCTCCCTCACACGGCGGCGCCGAGAGACCCCCGGAGAGCACCGCCCACCGCGGCCGCCTCCCGTACCCCACACCCAGATTCCCGAGCCCACACCGCGGCTCCCCTCCCTGCCGCCCGTCCCGCTCCCCCTCACCGCGGGCGCGGCGCAGCCCGGCCGGACCCATCCCGCTCTCGGCGGCTCCCGCGGCTGCGGCGGCCCCGCCCACTGCCGGCCCCGCCCCCGCGCGGCCCCGCCCCCGCAGGGCGCTGTCCATTGTGCTGCGGGGGCGCGGGCAGGCCCCGCCCCCCGCACGTGCGGCCCCCCCCGCGCCCCCCCCCGCCATCTCGCTGAGGGGCGGGCGGGTCCCGGTCCCGCCGTGAGGGGTCAGCGCTGCCCCGTGTCCCACCGAACCCTGCCTTCCTCCTTGGCCTGTCATTCCAACCCCTGTCCCAAGTCCCTCTCCAGATCTCCTGTAGCCTCTTTAGGCACTGGACAGGACTCTGAAGTCAGAGTCTCCAGCTCTCTCAGGCTGTCCCCACATCAGAGCTGCTCCATCCCTCTGGTCATCCTGCTGCCTCCTCTGGACTCGCTCCGGCAGCTCCGTGTCCTTCTTGTGCTGAGGACTCCAGCCCCGGGCACGTCTCTCGTGGGCAGAAAAGGAGAATAACGAGGGCTGTGTGTGGACATGGGCTCACCCCACCCCTCAGAGGGGACACAGCGACAGCCCTGCCTGAGCTCCAGGCGTGCTTGGACAACGCTCTGGGGCACAGGGTGGGAATGATGGAGTGTCCTGTGCCGGGCTGTGCTGGACTGGATGATGCTGATGGGACCCTTTCAGTTCAGGATATTCCATGTTTCTGTGATTCTCCCCCAGCTGGCACCTGCCCTGGAGGAGGAGGAGGAACCTTCTTGGGTCAGGGCAGGAGGAAGCAGAGCCACAGCTCCCAAACACAACCTAATGCTGCTCATCCCAGGGTAGGTCAGAGCAAAGGGACCTGCTCACCTCAGCCCCTTACTCTATCACTGCATTGTATTGTTTGATTAATTACATGATTTATTACACACCTGTGAACCCACTCCTTGAGAAAATATTCCGCAAACTATACTCTGGGATGACGTACCAGGGGACACCCAGACAAATGAGACTGAGGAGGACCCTGGGAGACATCCTCACCTCTCAGCTTCCCCTCTCCCACCAGCTCTGAAAGCCTGAGCGGTGTTCGCTGAATCCTGAGGCCTTTGCAGCTCAGGGTGAGTGGCCCCTGTTTGTCAGGCCATGCTGGGCAGTTGTCACAATGCAGTGACAGTCTTTGGGGCCGTGGCTCTGTGCAGGAAATGATGCCAACACTGCCCGACTTTGGGGTGTCAAAGAGTGCCTGAGCAGCCGGTCCTGGAGCAGGAGAGGCGTGTGGCACCAAGAGTGGGTGTGGGACACTGGCTGGGGAATGTTTTGCACCTTCAGAGCCTCCTTTCAGGTTCTCCCTAAGGACCAGCTGCCCCTTTGCCTGCTGGTATTGAAGTAACATCACATTTACTGCTGCTTTGTTTTTTCCTGCCTCCTTATCACGTCCAGCTATGGGGTGTCCCCTTATCTGGGCAGGCATTTCAGGAAGCTGCAGTGCTATTTCTGATCAGCAATATTTCCTGAAATGTTCTGCTATCTCAGACTGGGGAAACCAACCTGACACTGCTCAAAAACAACCATTGACCATCAAATGTCAGAGCTCCCAGGGCTGCAGCCTGTGGAGCCAGAGCACTTTTCCTAAAGACCTTTGCAGCACAACTTGGCATCAAAAACCACAAAGTTACTCAAGGCCTGCAACATCTACCTCATAAATATATATTCAAAATAAAAACAAAATGTATTTATTTATAAATAAATATTCTGAATTTCCCATCACAAAGCAACTTTCTTTTTTCAAGAAGTGGTATGTCTCTCCTGTTCCTCATTTACTGCTAAATTTCCTCAGAGAAAACAGAAGAAAAAATAAAGAACTATATCCATCTTCTTCTGCAGAATTTACACCAGCCTGTAACTGCCCTAATTGTGGTTGTTTCCCTTTTGTTCAGGCCATAAAAGCTGGATGAGATTTTGGTGGGTCCCAATCCATCTTTTTCTCTGCTGTGCAGCCCTGACCATAATTCCTATTTTCCAACACTTTTTTCTCCTGCTGCCAGCAGGTCACCTTGGCATTTTCCAGTGGCAGTGGGCTGCCTTTCCCCCTGACACAGGGCCAGCTCCCCAGGGCATTCCCAAGGGCCCTGACTGCCCTCCCACCTACCAGGACTGGGTGTTTGCCTCAAGGGCTGGCTCTGACCCTCAGCTTTTTCTCATGGGAGCTCCTCAATAAGAAGTTCTCACCCCCCAGCAGCCCAGCCCAGGAACTCCTGCAGTTAGAAAGGAGAATGTCTTCCAGGAAGGACATCTGGTCTGGAGATATCATTCAGCCTCCACTTCCCCTTTTACAAGGGCATTTCACTCCAAACTCTGCTTTTCTCTCAACTTCTCTGCCTCATCTGGTGGCATAAATTAAAAAACTCAACAGCAATTCAAATGCTTTGGCACATAACATGCAGGAAAAAGCTTGTAGGGATTGTTCATTTTCCGAGGTGTGGAGGTGGCAGAGGTGAGCTCCAGCCCAGGACAGTGTTATATTGTATTGTTATTATATTGTTATTCCTATTTACCTTATTAGGGAAGCAGCTGAAAGAAGTTGCAAAGGATGTGGCAAAGCTGCAGTCAGCAAGGCCAGAAAATTCAGTGGTTTGCGATGGAGGTGCTGGGGTAACTCAGCCCTGAGGATCCCTGAGGGAAAGGGAAAGGAAAAGGCAAAAGGCAGCTTCACACCTCCAGCCCAGCCCTTCCTGCAGTGTCACTCTGGGGAGCTGCCGTCCAACAGCCCTTAGAAAATCAGCACTGCTTAAACATTAAAGGCTTGCTTTAAAAATTCAGCAGTAAAGTTCACCTGCCTTTTAGAGTCCATTTAAGCAGCGTGGAGGTGAATTGCACTCTCTAAACGTGGGCTGCAGTCCAGGTGTCACAGGGGAGCTGGGAGGAAGAACAGGCTCCTCACACACTCCAGTGCTGGGACAGACACAGCAGCTCCTCCCCTGCACTATTCTGGGCTGGAGCTCACCTCTGCACCTGCACACCTTGGTAAAAACACCATTTAACACTTCATCTCGCTCTGCTTCACCGGAGCTGAGCAAAAGCTGCATCTGCTGTTCTGAGAGCCAGGAAAGTTCAAATATTGATGTTTTCTTGATTGAAAGCAGACCTGCAGCACTCAACCCCACACTGACCCTCTCCTGCCAGGAGGTTGCCCTGTCACACACATCTTTTATGAAAAATCCTTTCCTTAGGATTTTTCCTCCTGAGAAGCTGGGAGGCCTCAGGAACAAAATATAAACATTGATTATCTGCTGCTGTGGAATGCAACAGGTGCATCTGTGATTGCTCTCATGTGGTTGTTTCTAATTAATGGCCAATCACAGTGAGCTGGCTCAGACTCTCTGTCCTAGACCAGAAGCCTTTGTTATCATTCTTTCCTATTCTATTCTTAGCCAGCCTTCTGATGAAATCCTTTCTTCTATTCTTTTAGTATAGTTTTAATATAATATATATCATAAAATAATAAATTAAGCCTTCTGAAACATGGAGTCAGATCCTCATCTCCTCCCTCATCCTCAGACCCCTGTGAGCACCATCACAATTGCCCCACACCCCATGGATCCCTTTGGCCTTGGCCTTGCCCGTGCCTCTCTCAGTCCTGTTTGTTTTTGGTGCAAACCTGAGATGAAATGTGCTGCCCAAGGTCACCCAGCGAGGTGGCAGAGATGAAACTGGAGAGCAGCAGGCTGAGATTGGGTTCCTTTCCCCGTGGGACTGCAGATGAACACTGTGCTAATGGCTCTGCTACATTCACCTTTACATACTCCCTGCCCTGCCTTCCCTGCTTCTGCAGCTTTTGAAATGGATGCTGCAATCTTGGTTTGGTTTGTTTTGTGAAGCAGAGGGGGCTCCCACCCTCTGACCCACCAGCAGCCAAGAACTGAATTTCTGCTTTGCATAAGAGAAATACAAAATAAACCGATCACATCACTTATATTTAACCCCCAAAGCCCCCAGCTCAACAGCTGATCCCACTGATGCTCAAAATGCCTCTTTTTGAGTTTATCACCTGTAGTGTGTTGACATGCTCTGTTTATGGAGGTCTCTCTGCATTTTGGCTCATAAAATATTTACCATATTCCAGCCTATCATAGAATCATGGAAACACAATGGTTTGGGATGGAAGGGACCTTAAAGCTCATCCAGTTCCACCTCCTGCCATGGACAGGGACACCTTCCACCATCCCAGGCTGCTCCAAGCCCTGTCCAACCTGGCCTTGGGCACTTCCAGGGCTGGGGCAGCCACAGCTTCTCTGTGCCAGGGCCTGCCCACCCTCACAGAAAAGTTTTTCCTGATATCTAATCCAAACCTGCTCTCTGTCAGTGTGAAGAATTCTCCTTTGTCCTGTTACATGTTCTTGTAAAAAGTCCCCCTCCATCTTTTTGTAGGATCCCTTCAGGATCTGGAAGGCCACTCAGGAAGATCTAATACCATTCAGGTCTCATTTTTATCACAAATACTCCTTCTCATTTCTGTGCAGTCATTCTGGGACCCTTCAAGGCACATTCTCTGAGACAAACACAGCACATTGTGACAGCAGCACATCTCCACAACCTTACAAGCAAGCCAAAATTATTGCAAATTAACCCAGAATTCAGCTCTCTTACAGACTGCTAGACAGGCCCTGTATGAATAAAGAACACCCTATTTAAATAACTTCTCTTTCTGTGCTGTTTGTTCCTTTATGCATTTCCCCTTTTGCCTCTTGGAGCTCTGTGAGATGTCACCCTGTGCCTTGCTGAGTTCTGCCCGATTCCCCTTGCCTGGGAGTAAAGCCTGACACAGGTTTGCTATTCTGGGTCACCAAAATCAGTGTCACCTCCAGGAGCACAGCTCTTGTCAGAGCTTAGCTCTGAGCACTGCTCTGCAAGGTGGGGTTGGAACAGCAGGGTTAGCAGAGAGGGAGCTCTGCTGGGCTTGGAGCAAAGGCACAGCGATATGGTAAATTCAGAGGAAATACTGGAAACCAGCTGAGAAACATGAGAGCTTGGGGAAGCAGTGCTTGATCTTTGTATGACATGAGGCTCTCCAGTGGCTGGTGGGAACATGGAGGATTTCCTT